CTATGAATATAGTATAAAACTTTATTTGTTATTAACTCATAAAAACAAACAATCTCTCTTTAACAAATATTGAAAAAAATAAGTTAAGAAAAATACATCTTCTAATGGTTCAACTGAGCGTTACTGATGGTTTGTGCCATCTATTGGAATAAATAACATGGTTCAGTGCACTCACGAACCTTAAATAACCGTACCGTGTTATAACAGGAAGTCCCTCATTGAGTTTACCCCACAGTGTGGGGGGGGGGGGGGGGTCAATAGCCTGAAACCTTACCTGAGTGGCATTTTGAATTATCAAGGGTATCCTTTCAATCTTTATGCCGATATATGGCGCAATCCATCATCAAACGTTTAGTTATACGATCAGTAAATGGTATTTGATTGAGTTGATCACCTTATCTATTGTTGTTGTCACTCATTCCTTCTTATGGACTCATGGACAAATGGAAGTTGTACCTTTCAGCATGTATATCAGGATTCAGACAATACACTCATGGACAAATGGAAGTTGTACCTTTCAGCATGTATATCAGGATTCAGACAATACACTCATGGACAAATGGAAGTTGTACCTTTCAGCATGTATATCAGGATTCAGACAATACACTCATGGACAAAACTTAAGGAAGTTGTACCTTTCAGCATGTATATCAGGATTCAGACAATACACTCATGGACAAATGGAAGTTGTACCTTTCAGCATGTATATCAGGATTCAGACAATACACTCATGGACAAAACTTAAGGAAGTTGTACCTTTTAGCATGTATATCAGGATTCAGACAATACACTCATGGACAAAACTTAAGGAAGTTGTACCTTTTAGCATGTATATCGGGATTCAGACAATACACTCATGGACAAAACTTAAGGAAGTTGTACCTTTTAGCATGTATATCGGGATTCAGACAATACACTCATGGACAAAACTTAAGGAATTTGTACCTTTTAGCATGTATATCGGGATTCAGACAGTACACTCATAGACAAAACTTAAAGAAGTTGTACCTTTTAGCATGTATATCGGGATTCAGACAATATGCTCATGGACAAAACTTAAGGCGTTGTACCTTTCAGCATGTATATCGGGATTCAGACAATACACTCATGGACAAAACTTAAGGAAGTTGTACTTTTCAGCATGTTTATCGGGATTCAGACAATACACTCATGGACAAAACTTAAGGAAGTTGAACCTTTCAGCATGTATATCGGGATTCAGATAATACACTCATGGACAAAACTTAAGGAAGTTGTACCTCTTAGCATGTATATCGGGATTCAGACAATACACTCATGGACAAAACTTAAGGAAGTTGTACCTCTTAGCATGTATATCGGGATTCAGACAATACACTCATGGACAAAACTTAAGGAAGTTGTACCTCTTAGCATGTATATCGGGATTCAGACAATACACTAATGGACAATACTTAAGGAAGTTGTACCTTTTAGCTTGTATATCGGGATTCAGACAATACACTCATGGACAAAACTTAAGAAAGTTGTACCTTTTAGCATCATATCGGGATTCAGACAGTAACTCTGAAAAATATTACAGTGACCTTTATTGAAGACACATTATATAACCAAGTGTGAACAAAATTACCTCTGTTTAAAAAAAAAAAAATAAATAAACAGACGACCGATTACATCAAAGAATTTACACTTCCTTAGGTTATGTCGATGAGTGTTTGTGAATATGTAGTGTAATGTAAATAAAAGCAATCGTTAACTACCCACCATGATTATCATGGTTCGTATTACGTGTATTAGGAATAATAATAAAAATCTTTTAGTACCATATCATCACACCTTAGGTATATGCTTTACTGGTGTTAGTTAGCTCGGTGGTGATTTATGTAATTTTGAATTTCAACTCAGTTGAAATGTCCATTGAAGTTGTCAACTGAAGGAAAAACTGCTATTTCACTTTAACAACTTTCCTTGACGTCAGAATCTGACCTTTGACTTTGGAAACTGACTGTAAATCAAATATATAGAAATTGTATGTAAATATGTTTGATTTATCTTTTATATCTGGAATGTCGCACATTTTCCTCTTTCTGTGTTTAGGTTAGTTATCAACAGTCATCAATATATTCTTCAGCGGTTTCACCAAATTAATCTACAGACCGCTCTACTGGATGGGTTTTGTTATATACCCTGTATTTACTATGGAAGGTAGCTTAGGGGTGTTTAGGGAACCTATGGACATAAAAGACAAAGGTCGCCTCTCCCGTCAAAATAGACGTCAAAACTAGACGCCATCTATTGACCGCCACCGCAAACTAGCGGTCTCCGGTCGGTGACAAAGCCACAACACCAGCTTTGGCAAATTGAAAAACGTCCACCTAGAGACCATAGTTTCGGGCTAATGTTTGCCTTCAGTTTACCAAAGCTGGTGTTGTGGCTTTGTCACCGACTCGAGACCGCTAGTTTGCGGTGACGGTCAATAGATGGCGTCTAGTTTTGACGTCTATTTTGACGGGAGAGGCAACCTTTGTCTTATTAGATCAATAACCTCCCGGCAAAATTTCCATTTATGAACATAAGCTTATAGGTCTGTATAGTGGTCTAGAGATTAATTTGGCGACACCGCTGAGAGGGTTCACCACTGATGAATCAAGCCCTCTCATTCAATAACTTTTATCATTGCAAACACAGTAGGGTTTGTAGCGATAATATTTGATATGTTAAAAAGGTCGAATGGTTGCTATTGTCCCAACTTTTACAAATCAGTAAGTCTCCTCCATTACATGATTGATCATGGTGAGGATATCGTTGTGATGAGAGACTGGTGTCTTAAAATAAAGACTTTGTGTTTAAAACCGGCAATTAGAGAGGAGAATCTATATAAGAATGGTGTCTCAATAAAGGCTATGTGTGATATGTGAAAAGAAACATTTTCCTAAAATAATTTTCATAATTTTTAACGATAGATGGTAATTGAATTTGAAATATAATACACCTATCCCCCGATTTACACGGTAGATACGTTCCTGAGAAAACCGTGTAAATCGGGGGATAGGTGTACACAGAAATAAAAATAAAATGCATTGACAGGTTAAAATATGCAGTCAGCACATAAGCTCGGGATTCCTCGTGAGATGTGTACACAGCGCATGTGTTCAATCACAGTAGAATTTAGTATAGTGCGATAAAAACAACAAAAAAAAACTTATTTGGAAAACCGTGTAAAAGCGAAAACGTGTAAAACAAGTACCGTGTGAATCGGGGGATAGGTGTATGTGGTTTGTAGCAAGCGCCAAACCTAGATTTGTAATCCGCATTAAGGCTGGTTTTAAAACTAATCAAAACTGATCGGATGTCACTGTTTCTTACACAAAAGCTAAGTCCTCCAGTACGTGTAAGTAGCCAAACTGTTTCTAAATGACATGTGACATATTCACAAAAAACATCAGTCTCAACCTATATACCCTACAAGACTTGGTACTACATGTGGTGTACTTATAGTACAAGTGGTTACAATCCTCTAATAATGCACAACTCCCTCTCCTTTTGAATTCTCATCCCGATACGTAAATATTGTAGAAACCTTTGCCGAGCATACATACCCCCAACATACGTTTCTATTTTATTTATATACAACAACAACAAAAAGCCTTTATTTAGGGTCACTGACCCTATACAGGATTCACCAGAGGTATGCATAAGAACAAAGCAGTGAGACAAAGGAAACAACGATATAGACAGAAGAAAAAGAAAGAAAAAAAAACAAGAAAGAGAAAGAGGGAAGCAAGAAAAACAACACAAAAAGAGTAGCAGTAAGAAAGTGAGGAGTGAGTGTCACTTGGCCTTCTTCTGAGATATGGACTTGTGGAAACCATAAAACGCCGTAGCAATATACTTATTCTGGGTCATATTGTCAATTATTGATGGAAGTGAAGCACAGAGTTGCCCAGTTTTGAGCATAAGGGTTCTTCTTTCAGAGCAGAACAATCAAAAATATAGTGAGTGATTTCATTTTATTTTATTTATATAAAAATATGAAAATTCCAAACTATTATAGATGCGTATGATTATTTTTAAAATTAAACAATATCTACTGTCCTTACTGCAATGGAAAAAAAATAAAGGGTTAAATTATTTTCCATTACAGTAAGTGCAGTAGATATTGTTTAATTTTTAAAAGAAACATACACGTCTATAATAGTTTCGAATTTACATAACAGATGGCGCGCTAATGCATCATAATATGTAATTATGTTAAGAATTTACGCTTCCACACAAATAAAATGAAAGATGATAAAGAAGAAAAAGAAGAAAAAATATTTTATTTCTCGATATTTCGGGATAAAATCTCCTTAAACACGGAGACCTAGACGTATTACTTTTGTAAATACATTCTAAACTTTCTACAAAATCTGGATCTCTAGTGTTTTCATGTTTTGAATAATGTAAATAACTTATGTAAATAAACTTTTCTCCTTGTTTGATGCAAGTATTCCTTGCGGGATATAGCGCTTTGGAAATAAAATAATTGGAAATAATTGTAATAAAGAAGAAAAAAAGATAATATTTGAACGAGATAAATAAACATTAACATATTTTGATTAAATCAAGAAGGAATCGAGAGCTAGGTTTATTTTTACACAATTCTCTTTCATTTCTCGAGATTCCAGGCTAACATGTCCTTCAACATGGAGATCTAGAAGTATTACTTCTAGCCAATTATAACACTCCGGCGTGTCTAGGTTTCCATGTTGAAGAGCATGTTGAGGCGAAAGCTTGAGAAATGTAGAATTGTAAAAAGAAACAAAACCTTTGATTCCTTATTGATTTTCTCAAATTTTAAAAACGGGGGTAGAATCTTTATTTTACATTAACATATGGCTACATCACCAGAAAACAATTTTTTTTTACTTAGCTCCGACGTTTCAATGATTCGCTATCATTCTCCTCAGTGTAATGTTTAGCGGAGCCTAATTTCTAAAAAAAAAATGGTTGGAATAGCCATATACGAACGGAAAAATATGTCCAGGGTAGCTTAGTGGACATGGCATCTGCCCGGTAAGCGGAACACTGTGGGTTCGATTCCCATCCCTGAACACTTTTATTTTTCTGTTTATCATTACTCTTCACAATTCACCCTTTCATACCTCATCCAAAAGGTTAGAAATAATCGTTATTTCTCCTTGAAATAAATTTTGATTTTTTCGTTGAAAAGAAACACATGCGGGATAGTATTTCAAATGTCGTTTTACAATAACAAGCCGCATTATATTATATTGTATTATAAACTTCCAATCAACAAATAAGCTTTAAAAAAGTAAATATTAACAGTTTTAAGATCAATAGAAAAAACCCTGTTAAATTTATAAATAAGTTAAAACAAAGCATCTAGAGCTGCGTATCTTTTATTTCATAATTATAAAACAAGCTTTCGGGATCCTACGCCCTTCAACAGGAGTTAATAAACGACTTTTTTCTCCTGTAGAAGGGCGTAGGAGCCCGAAAGCTTGTGTTATAATTATGAAATAAAAGATACGCATCCCTAGATGCTTTGTTTTAACTTATTTATTAACAGTTTTGGTGTTAATTTATTCCTGACTGGCCTTGTCTTTATAGGTTGCTGAAGAGCATTGCTCGAAGCAAATATTTGAATGTAATTCTACTGTCCTATAAGCTTATGTCCATAGTTAACTTTAAAACCATTTCTAAGATTCCATCCTTCAGTGTAGCATATAAAAGCAGAATGATCCAATACAGTATTAGAGCTCTGAGAAGCGGTCTGGTGGATTAAATTGGCGAAACCGCTGGGAAGGTTCACCACTGATGAGTCAAGCCCTCCCAATATATTTTTTCATCGCAGTAAGGACAGTAGAAGTTCGTTTTATGTATAAAAGAAACATTCGCGCTTTTAGGTCCTTTTATTTTATATTTGTTAATTGAATAAATAAACAGATTTCTTTAAATGAGTTTCTAGTTATATATATATATATATACTAACGGTGTTATAGTTCATTGTTGTACCCATGTAGGAAGGAGGCAATACCTGAAAATTTGAGATTGTAATAAAAAAACCAAAAGAATCTCACATCTACAAAAACTTGTTGTCTTATTCAATTCCTATACAGAAGATTCACAATCATTACATAATGGTATTGGTGATAAGTTTTTTATATAATTGATTATCACAGGTAAATTTTACTCTGGAATCCCCCCTTCCATACCCTCCAGGTGATTTTTCGAAATTTCCCAGGAAAATTCTGAGATTTTTTCTTGAGATGATCCTCTCCCACCCCTCCTTCATATCTTTGGAGAGGAATTTTATCTCTAGACGTATCAATCTCTCTTTTTAATAAGATATCATTTTGTTAATCCTTAAAGTACACTGGGGGCATGAATATATAAAATTATGTCATAAATCTGACATCATATATTGAAATTCTTAAATTTGATATGAAAAGTGAAAACATTTTTTGTCGATGCATTTTGAAAAATAGTATTTTAATCTGTTTTATCGTAAACTAGACGGGTGACCCGGGCTTCGCCCCGGCCCGTGTGCATATCTACCCGAGTGATATATATTTAAATAAGATTTTTTTATAATTGTTTGTTATTAGCATTATCTATTTGTTTGCATCAGCATAATTTAATCTAATCTTTGATAGAGGGCGCTGTTCGTGAGCTAAGTAGAATAATTTGAATATATAGTTTTAATAATTGATTTATATATTTTTTAAAATAGCCTATCGTCTTCCCCGTATTTTCTACCTATGTATGGAAATTTTGGTTTGAATTAGTGAACTACTGCGAATTTGTATACCGGACATACAAACAAACATACATGGATTTTTATATATATAGATATTGAGGCTGCCTGGCCGGCGGCATTCATATTTCTTGAAAATAAAGATACTTCGGCCAGTAAATCTTTTTATTATCTCGACGTTTCGACAAAAATCTTTTGCCAAAGATCATAGTTTTTTGTGAGTTAAATATTTATTTTTGACTCGTGCTTTAGATATGTTGTACAAACATTTAAATATCGCGTGAGAACGCCCTTGGAACTTTAGAAAGATTTTTAACGCCTTGCTAAATGTTTAATTTTTGTTTGCTCCTGACGAGGACAAAAATATTTTTGTCGAAACGTCGAGGTAATAAAAAGATTTATTGGCCGAAGTATCTTTATTTTCAAGAACTATTAATCTGTTTTGTCATTAAAATAAAAATGTTGTCAGTAAAGTGTAAATTGTAATTATTAAAATGGAAATTGGTGTTATTAAAGTGTATATTGTTGTCATTAAAGTGTAAAATTTTATTATTAAAGTGTAAAATGTTGTTTTCAAAGTGTAAAATTTTCTTATTAAAGTGTAATTTTTTCTTATTAAAGTGTAATTTGTTGTTATTAAAGTGTCAAATGTTGTTAATAATGTGTAAAATATTATTTACCAATAAATAGTGCACCGCCTATAAATATTGATCTAATTTATGACTAGCTAATGTTTTAGTTAATATAATATTATTTGAAAAATGTTAAATATTTTTATTTATCAATTTTATAATTATTAATTCCTTTTTCTGAATGGACATCCAAGTATTTGAGAAAGGTGCTAACTTATAATATTATAAAAAAACTAATTTTCAAAATAAAAAATATCATTTATTTATTACCAGTTAAGACACGCTATATCCGATCTGGATAATTGCGCGTGAAACTATTTACAATAATTGTAGTAGAGTAGGTAACACAGAATTATCAAATTATCTTCTTTCTTATCTCAAAGCCATGATGATAATCATGGTGGGTAGTTAGCGACTGCTTTTACTGTAAGTGCACCACATGTCTACATATGTAAAAAGCAGTTTGCACTTACAAATATGCCAGAGTCCCGTTTGGTTACTTGCACTCGCTGGTGGGGTTGGACTTTTGCAAGAATCGGGGGCCATTGGAGCATTTTTTTTTTTTAACAGAAAAAAGTCTCCAATGCGGGAATCGAACCCGGGTCGTAGTGGTCGAAAACCAAACGGTATAACCAGCCTTCCACCGACCCCCATTATCAAAATATAAAAATATCAAGTCTTTAAATATTTGAATATTTAATTCAAAAATATATTATTAAATTTTTGGATAATATGAATGTGAAATCCCTATTTAAAAAAATAATAAAGTTTGGTAACACAGAGTTAAAAACCTATGTATATTTAAATTATAAAAATATATTTTTGTTGAAATTTATTGACATATATATTTCCTTGGTATATTTTAGAAATATAAATTTTTTAAAGATATATTTTAGCATCTAAACCAGGGGTCTCCAAACTTTCCAGCCTTAGGGCCATACTGATGGGGTCTTTCCAGCCTTAGGGCCATACTGATTACTCCAGTAAGTTCCGAGGGCCAAGATGGCAACACTGCATATTATTAATTTTCCTGTATTAATTGTTATGTTTATTTGTTATTAAATGTTATTATTAATTGTTGCTTTTGTGTGTGATTTAGCAGAATGGAAAAGAAGCGAAAAATTGATAGTGAATGCAGAAAATTCAAAGATCAGTGGAACATTCAGTATTTCGTAATTGAGTCCAGTAACAAGGCGCTATGTTTGATTTGCAATGAAAGCATAGCCGTTCTCAAAGAATATAACATGAAACGTCATTATGAAACAAAACATTCTCAAAATTACTCAAAATATACAGGAATTGTGCGGACAGAAAAATTCGAAGCTTTGAAGCGCGGATTGAAATCGCAGCAATCTTTATTTACAAAAGTCAAAACTGAACAAGAGGCGGCAACTCGTGCCAGCTTTCGTGTGGCTCTTGAAATTGCAAAACGTGGAAAACCATTCACCGATGGAGAAATGATCAAGGAATGCATAATTGCAGTAGTCGAAGAAATGTGCCCTGAAAAGGTAAATTTATTAAAAACTGTCAGTATGTCAGCAAACACTGTGGCTCGAAGGGTAGAAAACATCGCTGAAAATATATCCTCTCAACTGTTCGACAAAAATGGACATGTTGAGTGGTTTTCTTTGGCCTTGGATGAGTCAACGGATGTGTCAGATACTGCTCAGGTGTTGATTTATATTAGAGGAGTAGATAAAAGCTATGAAGTGCACGAAGAACTTCTTGATATGTATAGTATTCATGGCACAACTACTGGTACCGATATTTTTAAAGGAGTTGAAATGGCCATTAATAAAAAGAACCTTCGATGGAAAAACTTGAAATGTATTACAACTGATGGAGGCAAAAACATGAGTGGGAAAGATAAAGGAGTGGTCGCTCTTGTGTCAAAGGCTGTAGAAAATGACGGCGGCTCAAAACCATTAGTCTTACATTGTATCATTCATCAACAGTCTTTGTGCGGAAAATGTTTGGATATGTCTGACGTTCTGAAACCAGTCATATCAACTGTTAATTTCATCAGATCTTTTGGGCTGAATCACCGACAGTTCCGACAATTTATTGCAGAGATTGGAGAAACAGACTTACCTTATCATACTGCCGTACGCTGGCTTAGTTGTGGGAAAGTCCTTCAGCGCTTTTTTGAACTTCGAGCAGTGATCGAAATTTTTTTGAATGAAAAGCACCGCCCTCTTACTGAATTACAAAACAACGCATGGCTATGGAAGTTAGCATTCTATGTTGATTTAACAAAACATGTGAACGAACTGAATTTGAGATTGCAAGGAGAAAACTAGCATCTTCCTGATTTATACACTAATATCAAGTCATTCCGGATGAAATTGATACTGTTTCAATCACAACTACGAAGTAAATGTTTTTCACTGTTTTAATGCTTGGTATTTAAGATTTATAACACATTTAAATTTATAATTTTTTATTCAATTAAGATTAAAATTACACAAGCATAACATTTAAATATATATCCTGCCCAACAACTCTCTATACTATACTATATAACATTAAGCGATCTATTTACAGTTTGTTTTGGTCACTGGTCCAATATTTTTATTTTCATAGACCAAATTATAAGATTAATTCACAGATGAAAAATATGCAAAATAACTAAACAAATATATACATCAATTTGATATTTATTTAAAACAAATGAATAACTATATACATCAATTTAATATTTA